TAGCGCACGTGCCCAAGTACAATGAATGCGCGAGGACGTCGAGCTCGCGGCAAGCCGCCAGCGGCGCCAGACGCCCCGAAGAAGCCGTGACCGAAGCCGAGTGCCACAGAGAGCGCAGACCCTGGGCGCAATGACATTAGAGGAGGGTGGGACGCATCGAAACGACCAGAAAGGAAGTGGCGCACCGAGCCACCGCGCGCAGGCACCCGAACAATTGCTAAAAGCGCAAAGGCCGACGAACGCCAAAGCGAGCAACTTGCAAGGGTGGACCGTTGAACGAAAATTGGCAGGAGGACGGAAAAGGAACCAAAGGGAGCCAATTCTTAAAAAAAGGTTGAGTATATCGCCTCGTAACAACCTCCCATGAACGGCTACACAACCACTGGGCGTGTCGGCAGAGCGGGCCAGACGGTTCGCCTGAGACGTGCTTCCCAAATCATGGTACTGAAGCTTCCAGGCTCCACTGAGTACATGGATGGAACACAGCCTGATTTCCAAAATGCGGCTCTCGCCTCAACGCCGAGCGCATTCGGCTAATCAATCCGTGTGGAGAGCACCGAGAGCGCCAAGCGGACAGATGGGTTGAGAGCGAGTTGCTTTCACAACGTGGCTCTCTCGTGAGCGCCGCGCACGTTCGACTAAACAATACCACACCTACATTGAGAAAGGTAAAGTTGGTCTCAAGGTGTGACTGGGGACTCAGCGCCGCGCATAGTCGTACTAAAGATATCCCACATCCACACGGATGGGAGGATGCTACTTTTCAAAGCAGAGAGAGAATAACTGGCACAAAACACAACCATTCACGCTGGCTGCACTTCTGAAGGGCGGACCTTGTGCTTGTTTCATGGGGCTCTCATCTGAGATGTCCTGAGGGGTTCACGACAAGCTGCGCACGACCCAGACCCCCGACGTCATGATTTTTTCATGACGCGACCCCAAGAGGTCCCGACCCATTCCCCGGGACCGGTTTTTCGTCCTGAGTCGTTTTTTGACGCTCCCGAGGCCCGGCGATGGTCCCCGGAGGCCGAAACTAGCGAAAAACCTCCCGTCGTGATTTTTTCACGACGCGAGGAGGTCTCGGGACTTGCACCAATGAAGGACGGTTCATGTTCACGCCGGGGGCGCTCGCCCGCCTGGTCCTGCGACCTCTCCTGGAGCGCTCCGACCAGGATTCCGAGGCGAACCCCGGCGGTGGCGACGAGGGCCTCCCAGGAGGCCCACGCAGGGGGAAACGAAGGAATGGCAGCTGCATGGGCACCCCACAGCTCCTCCTCCTTCTCCTCCTCCTTCTCCTCCTACTCCTCCTCCTCCTCCGCACTCCGAGGTGACGACGACGACGACGACGACGACGACGACGCCGCCGACGACGACGAAAGCGACGACGCCGACGACGGCGGCGGCGGCGGCGACGCCGGCGAACCGGTCGGAAGAACTAGGCAGAAACATGAAGTTGGAAGGCGTTGGAAGTAGATTTGGTGTCCGCCCGACCCCTAAAGAGGGCGGTGAAGCCACTCGATCACTGAAGTAGGAAGGCGCCTAAAGCAGATTGGAATCTGGAAACCCACAAATACCTACTTTCAACGACCGATGGGTGTGGGCATCTTTTCCTCCTCTGGAATTCCTGCACTCTGCGCGGGGTCGACTCGTACAGGCGGATTTTGAAGAAAAATAGAAATAGTCCTAACAAATCATCATGAATAGCCGAGAGAGCACGGCAAATCGTCACCAGACTATTTGATTTACTCTTCTGGAATATTCCTCCTGTAGACTGACGTGCCTGTCTCAAGACTCCGCAGTGACTGCGACATCCCCCCAAAAAAACAAACAACCTCACCGCACGGTCAGTCGCCACCGTGCGGCTCGGGGACCTTTGAGAGGCCCCGATCGCCCGAGACGTCCTCGCAGAGCGGGCCGAGCCCCAAAACCGCGCGGCCACCCCGCCCCCTCGGAGGGTGTCCTGCACGCCGGGCGGGCTAACCCTTACCCTGACCCTAAACCTAAAACCTTAACCCTAACCCCAACCCTAACCCCAAAGCTTAACCCCTAACCCTAACCCTAACCCTAACCCTTACCCTGACCCTAAACCTAACCCTAACCCTAACCCTAACCCCAACCCTAACCCCAACCCCTAACCCCAAAGCTTAACCCCTAACCCTAACCCTAACCCTAAGAGGCCCCCCCCCTTGCCCTCTCAGAAGCCCCGCCGCCGTCCCAGAAGGCCGCCCCCCCGCGCACCGCCTCCTCGTGGGCGCCGCGCTCGCCCCGTGGGCGGAGGCGCGGCGGCCAGGGCCGCTCGGGCCGCCACACCGGCCCCACCGATCGACGTCGGCAGACCGGGGCGAGGCTGTCGAAGGGGGGGAAAGGCGCCCGAGGGCCGATCCCGCCCTGGGCTCCGTGGGAGGTTGGCGGCGAAGCGAAGCCCCTGTAGCCAGCGGGTCAAGTAGGGGGCCACGTGCGAACCCTACCCCTGCCCCCCACGACTTCTGGGGGGGAGGGCGGGGTTCACTTCACTCGGAGCTCCCGAGTGAAAGTGAACCCCACCCTCCCCCTCAGAAATCGTGGGGGGTAGGGGTAGGGCTCGCATGTGGCCCCCGATCAAAGTCCTCGCTCTAGCGCATCAGTACCCGAGCCAAGATGGCAAGAGGCGGGGAACACACAAAGGAGGCCCCCGCCCCTCGGTCGACGGGGGTGTCTCGGTGCACCAGCCTCCATTCCCCCCGGGGAGGTTGCCAGACGCGCAGTCCATGGCTGGCGGGGCGGGGAAACAGGAGGAAGGGGACGGAGAGGAGGAGGAGGAGGAGGAGGAGGAGGAGGAGGAGGAGGAGGAGGAGGAGGAGGAGGGGGAGGAGGAGGAGGAGCAGGAGCAGGAGAAGGAGCAACAGCAGCAGGAGGAGTGTGTTTCTTAGCCTCCTGGTGCCCACAACAACCAGCGGGGGGCAACCTAGGAAACAGCCGAAGGTCCCAGCGGGCCAGGGCGGCGGAGGGCTTCGGAGGAGGGGGGGGGGAACGCAGGGCGCAGGAGGGCAGGAGGGGGGGGAATGGAGTCGCCGTCGGACGATAGCATGCGCTGGGCGCAGGTGCCCTGGAGGAAGCGGCTGGCTCGAGGCAACGCAGGGAGCTGAAAAGAAGCGAGGAGGCAGGAGGCACCCCGCCTCCTGAGCCTCCTGGGCCTCTGGGGCAGAAGGGGGAGGAATGGGGAGGGGAGAAGGGGGAGGGCGCTCCTGGCGACGACAGACGGGGCGAGCGGCCCGCGGTCTCCTGCCTGCCCCGGGCGACGGAGGCCTGGAAAAGTCCCCTTCGCCTCTGTGGGCGGCATCCAGGTCAGAACTTAAAGGGAGGAGGAGGAGGAGGAGGAGGAGGAGGAGGAGGAGGACGAGGACGAGGAGGAGGAGGAGGAGGAGGACCAGAGCAAACCCCCGCCTTATCAGCGATGCTGCAATACACCCTCCCGTCCCAAGCCCCCCCCCGCAGACGTCCCTTCAAGCTTCCTGTTTATGAGGAACACTCGCCCTAAAAGTTCAGCACCATGTAGGCCGCCATGTCGGCGAAGGCCCCGCTCCGAAACAGGAGTACCCATCGGTCGGAAGAAGTAGGTAGAAACATGAAGTAGGAAGGCGTTGAAAGTAGACTGGGTGCCCGCCCGCCCCTGGAGGAGGACGGAACAGGTGAAGCCACTCGATCATTGAAGTAGAAAGGCGCTTAAAGCAGATTGGAATCTGGAAACCCAATGACACCTACTTTCAACGACCGATGGGTACCTTGCATCTTTCCGGCGCGCCATCAAGAACGCGAGCTACTGGGATCGCACAGCTCAACGACGTGGCCAGCAGATCCCCCGTCCGCAGGAGAACCGCCCCCGGCCCTCCCCCCCCCCTCCCGGCCCTTGCTGCTGCTGCTGCTGCGAAGGTGTACAAGCTGTCGTCATGAAGCTCGGGGAAGCTGCTGGCGATAGCCCCATATTCAAAATCCGCCGCCCTTGATCCGTGCAGCGCTGGATGTCTTGAAGCTTCGAGTCTGTCGAGTCCAAGACAGATCAAGCGAGAGCCAGGCGTTGCAAAAAACGTCCTCCATCCTGGAAGCTGGTGCACATGTTTGAGGCTAAGGCGCGCGGCACTAAGGCGAGGGCCACGTTTTGAAAATGACTCGCTCTCCATCCTTGCAAGTGCTAAACCATGTTAAAACAAGAATGTGGGCGGCGCTGAGGCGAGAGCCCCATTTTGAAAACGACCCCCCTCCATCCCTGAAGCTGCTGCAAACTTTAAGGAGAATCTGCGCTGAGCTGCAGCGAGAGCTCCACTGTGAAGACCACCCACCCCACCCCCTCCGTCCTGGAAGATGCTGCAACAAAGAAATGCTCCAAGATTTATGTCGAGCGTGTCCCCCTACAGGGGGGCTTTCGGCGAAAAACAAAAATACTCCAAATATACCCCAAAAAGGTCAAAAAATACTCAACATATAGTCCCCTGACTATTTTTGGATTATTGTTGGACTATTTTCAGGGTATTCTTTTATTTTTCGTCGAAGATCCCCCTGTAGGGGGACAGACCCGACTTGATCCAAGATAACAAGGGAGGAGGATTTCTCAGGCGAAGCGCCAGCCCCGCCCCACCGACCCGCCCAGGGTTGCGACAGGGAGGAGCTACTGATGAGGAAAGGGGACGGGGGAAACGCAGGGGAGAGACGAGGGAGGCACGAGCGAGACCAAGGCGACGGGAGGGGAGGGGCAGAGGCTGGAGGAGCTGGAGGAGGAGGAGGAGGAGGAGGAGGAGCTGGAGGAGGAGGAGGAGGAGGAGGAGGAGGGCAACGACGACGACGACGACGACGACGACGACGACGACGACGACGACGACGACGACGACGACGACGACGACGACGACGGCGCGACACCGACCAATCGGCACCGACGACGACGCCGACCGACACCGACGCCGACGCCGACGCGGACGCCGACGCCGCCGGCGACGGCGGCGCGCGGGCAGCACGGGGGGCGCGGGCGCCTACAGGCGCCCCGCCTCCGCCAGCTGCACGGCCTGCTGCTGCTGCGGCGCGAGCGGCTCACGTGCTGGGGCCGGGCCGCGCGCGCGGGCGGCGCGGCGGCGGCGGCGGCCAGGGGAGTCCTCCTCGTCCTCCTCGTCCTCCTCCTCCTCCTCCTCCTCCTCCTCGTCCTCCTCGTCCTCCTCGTCCTCCTCGTCCTCCTCCTCCTCCTCCTCCTCCTGGGCAGGGCAAGGGGGCGGGCGCGCGAGAGAGAGACCGTTGCGGAGCACCCCCCTCGGGCCCGTCTGCGTGCGAGGTGGGCGAGGCCGCGGCCTCTCCGAGGAGCTGCCGCCGTGCCTCCGGGCCGCGGGGTGAGCAGGTCCTCGGGTCCTTTGCCGCTTCTCGCTCTCGTAGTTTTTGTTGGCTCTCGAGGGAGCGGTGACGGGATCTGAGCCCCAGCACCGAAGCTGAAGGTCGGTCCCTTGACACTCTGCCGGCACGGCACAGTGAATGGAGTGATCTTGCGTACGGGAAAAGAGATTTCAGCACAGTGCGACTCCTGGTATCGGGTCGGGCAAAAGGGAGGGATAGCAAAGGGGGGGATTGAGAATCAGCTCACGGAGCTGATTTTCCCGGCGCCTCGAGGCGGCCATGTATCGAGGAATGGGCCCCTCGGTGAGGCCGAAACCAGCTGCATGCAGCAAATTTCGTCACCCCCCCTTTCCCGATCCCCCCCTTTCGCCCGGCCCGAGGGTAGCCCACTCTCTCGATCCTCGGGTCCTTGGCCTGATCCCGTGAGCAGCAGGCCTCGATCCCGAGGGGTCCCTCGGGGGCCCGGGGCCCAAAATGCCAGCGCTTCTCGGGCGTGGCGCGTGCCCCGACGGGGGTCCCGGCAGCTGCCCGAGAGGCCCCAGAGCGGGCGAAGAGGGCCCCAAAGGAGGGCCCCAGGAGGCCCCCCCGACGGTCCAAGAGGGCCACGAGACGTCCAAAGCTCGCTCCACGACGCCCGAGATGGTCCAAGACTGTCCAAGATGCCTCCGAGCCGCCCCAAGAGAAACCCCAGAGCCTTCCCAAGAGGGCCTGGAGAGGCCAAAATCATTGATTTCCCCTATGTGTTTCAATGAGTTTGGCGTCCTCGATTGTCCGAGCTCCCGACGCTCCAAAACAACCCAAGAAGCCCCCAGGACCGCCCCAAAGTCCCTAGGAGGGCCCCAACACGGCCCAAGAGGGCTCCAAGACGGCCCCAGAGACGCCCAAGACGGCCCAAGGGGGCCCAAAGACAGCCCAAGAAGGGCCCAAAAGGGGGAACACGAACCGAAAATCCGAGTCTTCCGCCCCAGGAAACCCCAAGAGGCCCCAAGGAGGCCCCAAGAGGCCCCAAGATACCCCCACAAGTCCCCGAAGACGCCCTAAGAGGCCTCAAAACGGCACCCAAAAGACCCTCGAGAGGGCTCCTGCGTCATCCCAACGAACATCCTAGAGGCCTACGACCCACAACCCAGGCACGGTGGCGGGAAGGGCCGAAGGTGTGTGAAAAGACACACTGTCGTGTGGAGCGTATGCGTGTGTGCTGCGAGGCATGAACAAATCGCGTGAGCTACGGAGGAGGAAGGAGGGGGAATCCTTGCAGCCGGCGTCCTCGTGTGTGGGTGGTCCAGAACACTTATATGTGTGTGTGATCCTCCCCGACTTGTTACGCCGCGAAGAGGCGCACGTGGCCACGACGCCAAAAGTGTGCGATCGTTAGTGGTTGTGTTTGGAAGGACGGGGGAGGACGGCGGTGATGGCACGCGGTGGTGCAGAAGCGGCAACGAGGAGCGGTTACGTCGAGAAGCGGTGCGAGGACAGGTGGCGTGCGAGACGTGGCTGCGAAAGGTGGCGGGGCCTGAGAAGTGCAGCGGTGCATCAAGTTCAGGTGGTCCGCCAGCCATTCTAGCGGCATGGGTCGAACAGAGCGCATGAGCCCGCGAGCGAGCGAAAGGTCTAACAGAAAGAGACCCGCGTCCGCCGCGCCGCCCAGCGACCCGCGACGCCCGCGAGAACAGATACGCCTTACGATTACGGTCGGGCACTTTTGGTTAGCGTGTCGCGGAGGTGGCCCCTGCGGCAGCCGTGCCTTGCAAGCCGATAGCGCATCGCTCTGCTTCATAGGACGGGACACTGGGACAAGTCCTGCGCGACATGCTACGCCGCGAAGGACAGGTTCCTGACCGGATTCACATCCTCGCCTATCGCAACGACCGCGGTGATGATCGCGCCACGGTCACAGCTGCTGCGCCCATTTCGCAGCAGAGGGTGGTCCAAGCCGGCTGCTAAAACGCCGGGAGGACTCGCAGAAAACGACTCCGTCGAGAGTGCCGCCCTGCAGGCGCGACCCGCCCGTGCCACTGCAGCCTGAACACAGGCGCTGACCTCGAGAGAACAAGTCTACGACGACGACGACGACGACGCCGCCGCCGCCGCCGCCGCCGCCGCCGGCGGCGGCGGCGGCGGCGACGACGACGACGACGGCGGCGGCGGCGACGGCGACGGCGACGGCGGCGGCGACGGCGACGGCGACGGCGGCGGCGACGGCGACGGCGGCGGCGACGGCGACGGCGACGGCGACGGCGACGACGACGACGACGACGACGGCGACGGCGACGACGACGACGACGACGACGGCGCCGGTGCAGGTCTCCTGCGTTGGCCCTCTGGAAGCAGGAAAAGGCTCCTCCCCGCGGGCGCTCTGCCCCGTCCTCTCCTCTTGTGACGTTGAGCGGACTGAATCCTCGGGATTGTAGCGCCTGTGGGACAAAACGGTATGGCCGACGTAGGCTGAGCTGAATGCGCGACGAATTAGGCACGGCGAGCGCAGCGACAGAAGAGAGGCGGCCGAGAGACGCAAGAGAAGTAGGCCCGTAAGGGCACAGAACATGCGCTCGCCATGCAGTGCTCGCCCCCTCCTCCCAAACCTCCCCGTCAACCCCGGCCGCCGGCGAGGCGGGCCCCCCCCCGTCTTATCGAGGCGTTGCAGGTTGCGGCAAGAGCTTGGGGAGGTGCCGCGAGGGAGGAGCCGAAGCCAGGACCGCGCCAAGGGGGAGAGGCCAGGGCCCCCCCCGGCGGGCCTCACGTTTGAGCCCAGACGAGGGGGCGGAAAGGTCCCCTCCGGTGGGGCCCCCCCGGGGAGCTTCGCGGACCCGTCGCGCTCTCTCTCTCTCTCTCTCTCTCTCATCCCACGGATGGCGGGCCCGCTTCCCCCTGCTCCAGCCCCCCCTCTGGCGGCCCTCCATCCCCCTCCTCCTCTGCCCTCCTCCCCCCCCCCAACGGCCCCCCCTCCTGGTACCTCCCCCTATCCCCCCTCATCCCCTTCCGAGCCGAGCGTTTAGCGGTGGCCAAGCGCAGGCTCGAGGATCTGATCGATGGGACGGCCAAAATCGCCACAGAGATCACCTGCAAGGTCGACTCCAACCCGAAGGAGCTGCTCGGGCCGCCTCGGTCCGTCGAAGGAGTCAGTCATCCCGCGGCGGATGGAGCCGCCAGCGCCTGCCGTGCAGGCCAGCGTCTGCTCGGGCGCCACGGAGCAGCTTGCGCCCTCAACGGACGGCACCTTGGCGGGCAAGAGCGGCATGCAGTAGACGCGGGCCCGCCAGAGCTACATGAGCCCGGTCGGCCTGTCGCGGCGGGCATGCCGAGGATGCGATGACGGAGCCGCTCGCGCCCGTCGGCCTGCATCACGTCGACTCGGCCTCAGCGAGGCCGCCTGCAGCCTTTGCGGACACCGCCTTCGAGACCAGGCTGGGCAGGAAGGCGCGGCGCAGGAAGACGCGAGCTCTCGAGCCGAGGCCCGTCGACGTCCCCGATGACGATGCCGAGCCCCGGCTTGCGGAGCTCGCCTCGAGGCGAAGCTCAGGACCTTCCGGCCGTGGTCGAGCGGGACCGTGCCGAGAGCAGGCGGCGCGCTGCCAAGGGGACCACCGTTGATGCGTCAGCGTCTTTCTCTGCGGATCGGTTGCGCTCTCCCCGCCACATGATGGCCCTCGGCCAGCAGGGAGGAGATCGAAGACCTCGCGCCCCGCCCGCATCGGCGGCCGCCACAGGTGAGATGCGAGGCGCCGCCGGCCCCTCTCGGCACCTCTGCCCCCCCTGGCCGTGTTGGCCCCCCACACCGCGCGCAGCGCAGCACGCTGGGACGACCACGCGGGCGCAAACACCGTGGGGCGGACGCCGACGCAGAAGCATCACCCTCACAAGAAGCACCTGGCCTGCGCGCGAAGCCCTTGGGTCAACGCACCTGGAGAAGGGATCGAAGTCGCGCTGGTGGCACCACGGGCGGCCCACCGCACGCGGCGCGCGGCCAATCAGGCCGCGCGATCCTCGAGCCACGCGCCCCCGGCGGGGCACACCCAGGAAGCGCGGGCGCACTGCCGCGCCGCGAGCGCCCGCGACGACCACCGCTGCGTGGCTCGCATCCCGCAGCGCGGCCCCGCTGGCGGGGCTGCGGAACTCGCGGCCCGACGCCACTCGTGGCCCCGACGTCGCTTCCTGAGAGGCGGCAGCTGGACTAGCTCGTCCCCTCTCTCCTACTCCTCCCCCTCCTCATCCTCATCCTCGTCCTCCTCATCCTCCTCCCCCTCCTTCCCCGTCCTCCCCCTCATCCCTACTCCTCCCTCTCGTCCTCGTCCTCCTCCTCCCCCTCATGCTCATCCTCCTCCTCCTCCTCCCCCTCCTCCTCCTCCCTCTCCTTCCCCGTCTGCTCATGTTCCTTGCCCAAGCCGCCGAGCGCCCGCGCTCGTAGCGTCAGTCGGCGTCGGCATCGGCCGACGCTGGTGAGCGCCCCCGCCCGCTGGAGGGTCTCCACCGGCAGTGAGAGTCGTCTGCTCCACCGTCTCCTCCTCCGCGGCAGCAGCAGCGCCACAGGGCGACCCCAGCCCGCGGCGCGCGCGCAGGGCAGGCGCCCTGGGAAGGCAGCCGCCGCGCGCGATGCAAGGCAGGACGATTCCACGACTACGCTTCGTGTGAATCCTCCTGTGCATCAGCCTTATTGATGTAAAGTCCATACATTGTCTTACTAATCATGCGTATAATGATATATGACATATTATATACATATGTGCACGTACAACCTCCTATAATAGTATTGTCCCTCGTCTTATGTCTGTTGCGAATCGTGAGCAGACTGGTTTCGATTAGCACTCCGATAAGCACTAGGACCAGAGCCTCAGTTGTTCTATGACTCGTGCAAATCACGACCACCAGACCTAAGTATACTAGTACTATGAAGGATCGGATGTGCATTCTGAGTACCGCTGATGCCATTCGCTAAATCATTGCGATTCTTCTGAGGACCATTAACAATCTGAATCGCAATCGTGATATCAGTGCTGCGACTGTGTGATTGCATTGAGTACTCGTAATATGCTTCTGAGTGCGAGGTGAAGATTACTCGAAATTACCAGAATCGTGCAATTCATACTCATGACGTTCATAGTCATACTATTCGTATGGTTCGTGATCCTAGCGGCGTTACCATAATACGGCTGGTACTCCTAATCAACTCCGTAATGATATCATACTGGAACTGAATAGTGCGAGCATGCTTATTATGGGTTTTAGCTTACCTCACCTACTTCGAAACAGTATAATACACATTGGTGTGATCAATCGGCGCAGAAATATTCGCAAATGTTGTCTTATTTGGTGAGTACGAACAGTACTATGCTTACTATTGCGCAGTGTATGTCTAGTGTCTTTATTAGCCGTAATGTGCTACATATTCGTATTCCGCTTCCGCCTTCAACTCCCCGCCCTCCTGCCCTCCTCCTGTCCCACCTCCTCCTCTTCCCCCCCCGCGCTCACCCGCGCGCTCCCGCGCGCGCGCACAGGAGGAGGAGGAGGAGGAAGAGGCGGACGACAAGAAGCAGCAAGAAGGACGAAGGACGAGGGAGGGAGCTGAGGAAGACGACGACGACGACGACGACGACGACGACGACGACGAGGACGACGACGACGACGACGACGAAGACCACCACGACGGCATCCCCGCCGCCCCGCCCTCCGAGGGTCAGCAGCGCCACCACTGCCACGACGCCGACCGCGACAAGGGCCCGGTTCTGGTGCTCGGGGAGGCGGGCGCCAGGGAGGGAGGGAGGAGTAGGCGAGGCCTGCCCCTCCTGCCTCCCCCCAGGTGCCATCCCAGGAGCGCCAGCCTCCTCCTCCTTCTCCTCCTCCTCCTCCTCCTGCTCCTGCTCCTCCTTCTCCTCCTTCCTGCTCCTGCTCCTCCTCCTCCTCCTCCTCCCTCCTCCTCCTCCTCCTCCTCCCTCCTTCTCCTCCTCCTCCTCCTCCTCCTCCTCCTCCTCCTCCTCCTCCTGCTTCACTCCTCCTCCTCCTCCTCCTCCTCCTCCTCCCTCCTCCTCCTCCTCCTCCTGCTTCACCTCCTCCTCCTCCTCCTCCTCCTCCTCCTCCTCCTCCGCCTCCTCCTCCTCCTCCCCTCCTTTCCCTCAGTTCGCCCCTCCTCCCCGTAGGTTCCGGGTTGCTCCACTCGCGGAGGTATAGAGGGAGGAGGAAGACGAGGAGGCGGAGGGGGAAGAGAAGCAGGGCGAGGGCGAGAGCGAGCGCAAAAGCGAGGAGGAGAGGGAGGAGAGAGAGGGAGGAGGGAGATGGAGAGGGAGAGAGGGAGAGGGAGAAAGACAGGGGAGAAGGAGGGGGAGAGGAAGATAAGGAGGAGAGGTAAGTACAAAAAGCCGTTCGGCTTGGGAAGTCTGGGAAACGCCCGACAGGTTCTGAGAGTGGGAAACTGGGAAGGGGGAGCCCAAGAGCGCCTCAATTGTACAGGCGACTCATGCCCCCCCCCCCCCAAAAAAAAAGAAATTAAACATTGTATATGCCTGATGTGGTCCAGAGTCCACACAGGCGGGTGTACAAAGATACGAAGAACATGCGTATGTTATATTATCGGGTCAGCCTGTGGGCATAGGCATCCAGATGCCTCCTCCCAATTACACCAGCAAGTTCACATGTGTGAGAAGGTGTACAGCGCCCACGTGGGACGGCTCTGTCAGTACAAGCAGGCGCTGGCACAAGAGTCGAGAGAGGAACGGGACAATATGATGATGCATCGCATTGCGAGCAGTAAAACGGTGATCACTCCCAAGCATCACCGGAATCGTCAAACTTCAAGCAATAATGCGTCTGCAACCATCACGACGGAGCCAAAAGGGGCAAGGCACTACGCGCATGCTCGACAAAATGGCCCTACACCACCAGCAAGACAGGGGGTCAGAGACTGTGGGCTGACATCGGGGGAACGATGGGGAAAGTAACTGCTTACGCTACATTTACGGCCTGGATTTCCCTGGCTCGTGGCTCATAAAGTGCTCTGAGCGAGGGTTCCGAACATCTCCACACATCTTGGACCTGTCTTGCATCAATGAAACCATTCCGAAAACAAGTCGCGAAGCTGGGAACCCTGACGCAAGCTTGAAGCACTCGAGAAAGCCTAAGTACTCACCACAAGTCTGTGGCATATGCGAAGCCCTTTCACAAACAAACCTCAACGCGTCTAGCTCCTGGCTGGCACCGAACGTTCCCACTGCTGGCCTGTCTAGGGCGCCCTGCACCCTGATTACTGGCGCCTCCATCTGAAGCGTACACCACTCAGTCTGGCGAAAAGACAGGCACCGGGGATCTCAGCTGACGGCACTCCTGCCGATCAGCACTGACACGGCTCCCTGCGATCCACGTGTCGGCGCAGTGCTGGGCACGCAGGACCATCTCCTCAAGAGAGTGGCAGCACTCGCCCTGGAGTCACAACCTCCCCCCGCCCGAAACAAAGCTGGTAAAGGCAAGGACGCACCGCAGCACAGATCCATTCAGCCATTCAAAACCTGCCACCACCTCTGTTCTGCTGCGAGGCGGGTGCACGGCTCGGGGGGGAGGAAAACAAAAAGAAACGCTTGTGGAGAACGAGGCCCCCGCCGGCCGAGTATCATGACTACAGCGAGAGCCAGGATGGGATGCGGACCAGGCTGGGGTCGGCCTCACCTCGTGATGCAGCCGGGGGGGGGGGGTGTTTCGGGGATCGCTCCTCCCTCGCTAGAGAGAAGGGTCGAGCATCGACGAAGATCGACCAGGGAGGATCGCGGATCGAGGATCGAGGAGGGCCGAGGAGGATCGATCGTGACCCCGCAGGCGAGGATGCGGACTAGCGTGAACTCCACACGACTTGGCGGGTGGGTGGCTGCGCTAGTCGAGCGAACGGACGAGGACAAGAACGGAAACTGAAGCGCTCGACACGCGTCCCTGTGGCCTCACAAAGCGGACGATCTATGATTGAACGCCCAAACACGGGTGCGAGCCAACGAGATGCGAGTTCACCTGTCTGCAGTCTCCGCATATTGGCTATGCGACGCTCTCCTGGGATACGCGCTGGCGTCTTCCTCAAGTTTCGTTTCATCGTGATCCAGTTCAGCCCCCGCGCCTGGGCCGCATAGATCTCGAGGTACACATGCCGATGCACATTGACTTCCTTGGCACGTCTGCTGCCCGCGCGCTTTCCGCCGTGCACGGCTTCGGACACCATGGTTCATTTCATCGTTTGGAAGACTCTGAACGCGGAAGCGAAACTGAATAGCGGCCACACGGGCGACCCTTGTCCAGGAAGAGTGGTGTCCGCATTCCATGCAGAAATCTGCTGCGTTGGGACCCCATGGGCGCTATTCATCCACTCGGAACGCCCCAAGAGGGCCCAAAGAGGCCCCAAGAGAGATCTCAACCCTTCTCCCTCCCTCAATCCGTCGCTCATCATCCTGCCCTTCCACGTCGTCCTCCGCCACCTCATGCTTCTCCTGATCTCACCATCCCCCTCCCGACAGCAGGATGGGGAAGGAGAAGGGGGAGTCGGAGGGGGCGGTGGGAAGGGGAAGTAGGAGGCGGAGGGGGGAGAGGGGTTCTACGGAATTCTAGGGGGGAGGGGAAGCGAGAGGTAGAGAGGGCCTGGGGGGATGGGTTCGACGGGTCTCATGAACGGAGTTGGCAATCATTGTCGCCATCATTATTCAAGGGTTCTGGGGGATTATGAAGGGGCCCCAGGACACACAAATAAATACACACAAATAAAACAATTCCCCATGTTTTCCCATATCTTCAGGGTTTTTGTCTTCCCGCCCAATTGCCATATTTTCCCACATTGTCTTGGGGAATCGACGATTAATTGTGTCTGTGTGTTTTCTCCCCTCCTGAGATTATACAAGTCAGAGGGGCACGAGGTACAGGTTCGGGCCTAGGCTTGCAACAGGGCCCCCCAGAGGCATCGCAGAGTCGTCCTGCTCCACCCCCATCGTTCTCCCCCGCGGCCTTGTTCTCTCCCCCTTCGCCTCCTCCTTTCTCCTCCGTCCCATCATCATTTTTCGTGGTCTCCTCCACATATGTTCCTTATGATTAACTCCCCGTTGCACCACTAGACGTGTCGGCAATACGGGCCTGTCATGTGACCCTGAAGCTTGACATCCACAGCAACGTGTCGTATGGTCAAACCGGCGAAGGCGGATCGTTTTCCGAATGCGGTTCTCGCCTGAGCGCCGCAAGCCGTTCGCCCCCTGTCTGTCCCAGATCTAGACATGAAGGCCAGGAGGTTCTAAACCGTGGCTATCGGCGTAGCGCCTCGTACATCCGTCGCAACAGCCTCCAACGGCTAGGACTGACTGAGGAGAGGTAGTCTCCTATGTGTGGCCCTTGCCTCAGCACCGCGCACGTTCCTGGCAAAAAAGCTCTCGAGCGCTGCACGGAGGGAGGGCCGTCGTCTGTCAAGATGGGAGCCTGGCGTGGGACTTCCTGCCAGGTTAGAGCACGACCTATCCATTGCGTACGAGTATCAAGGATGGTAGGCGTTCAAAATACGGGTCTCGTTTCGGTCTGTCTGACAAACCCCGACCTGACGCGCACAACATATCCAACCGCTACACGGGTGGACGGCGGCTCATTTAGGGGGCCACATGCGAACCCTACCCCTACCCCCCACGCTTTCTGAGGGGGAGGGTGGGGTTCACTCCGTTCGGGAGCTCCCGAGCGAAGTGAACCCCACCCTCCCCCTCAGAAATCGTGGGGGGTAGGGGTAGGGTTCGCATGTGGCCCCCTATTTTTCAAAAAGGGACGTTCGCCTGACACTTGCGTGAACTTGTTCCACAAACATCTTGACATCCCTACTTACAGTGGTATCTGCGAGGCTGGCGGGCGCCTCCTCTTCAGAGCGTGGCCCTCGCCCGAACGACAGGCCAACGGACCGCTCCCCGTCGTGAACACTCGCACTCTCTAAAGGTGCATGAGCATATAAGCTTGCCAAACTCCGAGCGGATTCCTAGCATCGGCGCTGGCGCCAAAGAGCGCGCCGGGGGCGGGACCGGAGGCGCCGCAAGGCAGCTCCAGCGCGGATCCAAGAGATCCGCGCGGAGCTCCGAAAACTCATGCTCGTGCTGTTCTCTCTTCCTCGAGAGAGGGGGCTTCGGACGAGAGGGTGTTAAGGGGCCCAGGGGATCACAAACAAATAAACATAAACACAAATTCCGGGTTTCGCCAGATTTGTCCGCATGTTCTGGGTTGTCGTCTCCACCTCCATAAACCCCATCGTTTCCGATCTTTTCCTAGGAATCGACGACTGCTTGTGCCTGTGCCTACTTTTCCCTCCTGAGGGTGTCCCCCGACCTCCGGCCGACAAGGCTCCGCAGGGGCAGTGGGCGAGGCCCACGGGCGGGACCTGGGATCGGCGATGCGCTGCCGATAGATCGGCGACGGGCCCCCGACGGCGAGACCGCACGGTCCTGGGTGGGGTGGGCGAACTATCGGACCCCCACCGGCGACGCATGGGCGAGCGGGGGTCGATGCATCCCCCCGTGAGCCTAGCCTACCCCGTGGTGGTTGTCGGGGCCATCACTCGGGCCTCCAGCGGCCGTCTGGGGCGATCGGGGCGCCCCCGGAACGCCATCGGTGAGGCGCAGCTGCTGAAACACACCCCGAGGCTGATGAACCGACGAGAACCAGCGAGGACACCCGAAAACCTCTGACCCCCCCTCACGTTGTCCCTGAACCCCGTGCCCTTCGCCGCGGGCTGATGCTTTCGTGCAGGGGGGCCCGAAGAGAGGCCCCGAGGGGGGGACCGCGGTCGCTCGGCGGCGCGCAGAAAGCGGGGGCGGCGCGGGCGGGGGCGTCCTCCTCCTCCTCCTCCTCCTCCGCCTCCTCCTCCTCCTCCTCCTCCTCCTCCTCCTCCTCCTCCTCGTCCTGGGGGGGGCGTCTTCGGGGGCACAGGGCCCTCTCGGAAGGGCCACAGGGCCCCCACGAGGGCTTCTTGGCCCCTGCCTTCCAGGCAGCCCCCCCGTGCCGCTCCTCCGAAGGACGGCGAGGGGGGGGCGTTTCTTGGAAGGCCCGGGGCGCTCCCAGAAGGGCCACGTGGCTCCCACGAAGGGTTCATTGGAAGGCATCGGGTCTTCTCGGAAGAGGAGAGCACATCCGCCGGCCCCCTTGCTGGGCCATCAGGCTGCGTGGCGGAGGCGTCCTGCTCCCTGCACCAGTTGCAGGTTCCAGTTTCCAGTATAATAGTTCTGTTTTCTGCTGCAGGTTCCAGTTCCCAATGTGATAGTTCCTACGTTCTGCTTCCTATTGTAAATTGTTGAAGTCCGCGCGAGGGGGGGGGCCGAAAAGGACCCAGTTATCACGCCCGGATCGCGTGCTCTGAATTCCTGCGAAGCTGTGGGACACGTAAAAATACATGAAACTCGCGTCTCCGAGGCCATAAACCCTCGTAAATTATACAATGCGCGCGTCCCCGAGGCCATAAGCCCCATTAAATTACACGATACTCGCGTCCCCGAATCCATAAGCCTTAGCAAATTACCAAATTAGCAAATTACCTACCTTTCTACAAATTGTGCAAAATTCGCATCCCCGAGACCACAAAACCTCGTAAGTTACACCAGGTTCGTGTCCCCGGAGCTAAAGCCATCGTACATGATTCAATGGTCGCGTCCCCGAGGCCACAGAAATTTGCAAATTACACATTAGTTGCGTCCCCGAGGCCACAAACCCTCATAAATCATATCATATTTGCGTTCCCGAAGCCACATAACCTTTTTTTATAAATTACACCATATTTGCGCCCCCGTGGCCACGAATCCAACTCGCGGGCCCCGAGTAGCCCCCAGGAGGCCCCACGAGGCCGTCAAGAGGTCCCAAGAGGCCCCAAGAGACGCCCAAGACGCGCCCAAGGGGCCACCAAGAAACCCAAAGGATACCCTACGAGGCCCCAAGAGGCCCCTAAGAGGCGCCCAAACCGCCTCCAAGAAGCCCCCGAGAGGCTCCCCACGACACCCCAACACATATACAAGAGGCCTCATACCCACATCCCAAGCACGGTGGTGGGATGGGCCGAAGGCCATTAGGATAACGCCAACGTTTCAATATGCGCTGATGACTCCTATCCGCCCCCGCATGCTGTTCCCAGATGCGCCAAGGCAGCGCCGAGACGCACCGACGCGACTCTGGTATATCCTATCATGATAGTAAGGGGACTTGCGGCAGGGGGCGAAGTCCTTACGGATAAAACCCCCTCATCACAACCACCCCGGCAAGCGAAACCACTTAGCAGCAAGCGCGCCCAATGAAGAAATCGAGCAGGGCGGGGCTGCTCAGAAAACGCCCAGGGCTGTCTAGTAAGCGCCAGTTCTCGGGGTGAGGGTGGCTCTTCCTCCCCTGAAGAAGGGCCACGGAACTCCCACGAGGGCCCCTTGGCACCTGCCTCCTGGGAAGCCCCCTCCGCGGCCCTCCGTGGAGCCCGCCCCCCCCCCCCGCGCAGCCCCCGCGAGTGCGCCACCAGCCCGCGGGAAAACACAGCCGCCGCCCTGAACCCTTCAGGGCGGCGGAGGCACGCCGAGGCAATCTCGAGCAGCTCTGGGCAGAAACAGGCACGCCAGAACTTACAGCGGACAAGAGCGGAGGAGTCCCGACATCAGACGTCGTCCAGAACCAGCAGCGGTCGCTGCTGGGGAGGCGCAGGCTGCCCCTAGAGAGAACACCGCCCGCGGCAAAGCCCACGGCGAGCCATGTGTCAGAGGACGCAGGAGCTGCTGCTGCGGCACTGCGGGCAGAGCGGCCCTTCTCCGCCGAAGCCCGCGCCGCGCCCGCGCCCGCCGCGCGCGGCGCGACGCACGACCCCCTTCCTCAGAGATCCTCTGGAGGGGGCCTCAAAGAGCCTCTGGGTTCCTGGACACCCCGCAGCCAGGAAAGGGAGATGCCTCGAGGGCCTCGGAGAAAGGAACGCGGGGCCCCGCAAACCCAACACCGACAGGAGGAGCTGCTGCCGGTCTTCGTCCCCCGTGCCCAGACCCCCGACGTCACGACTCCTGCACAGCGTCGACCTCCAGAGGTCTCGCCTCGTTCGTTCCCCAGGACCGGCCTTGTCGTCCTGGGGCGTGTTCGCCTCTCCCGGGGCACGGCGAGGACCCCCAGAGGCCGAGAACAGCAAATAACCTGCCAGCGCAATCTGTTCAAGACGCGAGGGGGTCTATACGGGCCTCCCGCGTGGGGTCCGAGCAGATGTGGTCGGAGGCGGGGGACCGCACCGCATCGGCGACATCGGCGCAAAGAGATGAAGCCTGGCATCCCCAGAGATCTGACGTCGTGACTTTTTCAACACGGGGTCCCTGGAAGTCTCGACCCAGTCCCCAGGACTGGTTTTTCATCCTGAGTCGTTTTTGTTGACGGTCCCGGGGCCCGGCGAGGGCCCCTCGAGGCCGAAAAGTACGAAAAACCTCCGTCTTGATTTTTCCAAATCCGTTGGATCTCTGGGTCTACGTCCTCCCCGTCCTCCACTTCGTTCCTGCCACGGCCCCCCCCCCGCCGCCGAGCCTCAGGCCGCGGCGCCGGCGCGGGCGCCGCTGGCGCGGGCGCCGCCGTCGGGGGCGCCGCGGGCGTGGGCGCCGGCGTGGGCACCTGGCTCGCGCCCCGAGCCAGGACGAGGACGGCATGGGGTGGGAGATCGGGTGCCGATGCTGTCGGGTCGGGCTTGGCCCCCTGCAGGATGATTTTGGACGAAACATCAAGAATACCCCAAAAGATGCTCATTAAATCCAGAAAACTCGTCCCCAGACTATTCGTTTACTATTCTTGAATATCCCCGCTGTAGAGGGACAGGCCTGACTCAACGATACCACTACCCTTCCCTTCCCTCGTTTTCGCCCTCCTGGGCCTCCTAGGAAGCCCTCGTCGCCACGGCTGGACTCGCCAGGAAATTCGAGGCAGAATACACCCAGGCAGAGATCTGAGGAGCAGCAGCATCGGTGCCTCTGCGAGCCAGCAGGTCTACGGGGCGCACAGGGTGCCGCGGAGGGTGCCAGGGCTCTCTGGACAGGCCTGGGGCGGTGTATGCTCGTCTGGCGCCCTCGCCAGGCCTCAGGCCAGGCTGACACGAAGCCCCGACGAAGACACAATGAAGCAATGGCGTGTGAACCCTAATCCCTGCAGTTCAGAATCCACCAGCCCTCTGGGCCGAGGTGGCCTAGCGCGTTTCCTCTTCCAACCTTCCCTCTTACCCCCTCCCCTGGACCTGGAGGGGTGGGGTCGCGGGTCGGTGGAGCGTCCAAGATGGCCCAAGATGGCTCTAGGAGCCCACTCTTGCGCCGGCGCGTCTGGCCACGGCCCCCGAGACACGACGACGACGACGACGACGACGACGACGACGACGACGACGACGACGGCGACGGCGACGGCGACGGCGACGGCGACGGCGACGACGGCGACGGCGACGGCGATGGCGCCGCCGGCGGCTGCGGCAGCGGCGGCGAGCAACGACGGCCGAAGCGGCCGCGGCGGCAGCGGGCGACGGCGGCGACGGCCGCGGCGCGGCCGCGGGCAGCGGGCCCCCCGGGGGGGGCGGGCGCCGCGTCGGGGGCGGGCGGCAGGGTCCAGGCGACGGCCCCGCGGAGCGCGGCCGCGAAGGTCGGGGGCGCCGCGCCACTCAGCCGCGCGAGGTCGCGGCGCCTGCCCCGCGGGAGCGAGGCTCGGCCAGCCAGCAGCACACGCCCATACAGTAGGGGCGTTGACCTAAGGGACCCTACATAAGGAACGAGGCCCCTTCTTTCCATAAGTCAACCTTCGATTTCCTGTCGAAAACAAAGGGGGAAGCCTGAGGCAAGCTGTGAAACACTTAAGGAACGCGGAGCCCCTCCCCAACGAAAACGGTTCCTTCTTCAGGGCCCCGACTGTACCCACAAAGGGGTCGGAGAGGGCTGTGGGTGCGTGTCGTCGGAGGGGGGTCCCCGCTCGAGCGGGAGCGCTCCCCAGAGTCCGACGACCCGCACCCCCATGCCCACAGCCAGTCCTCCTTCCGGCGACCCCCCTATCGGTATGGGTGCGTGTTGTTCGTTCGTCAAGGTTGGGGTACTCTTACAGGTCGAACCTACGTTTAACAACGGACTTTACTCTCGATCCTCTATATCTTAAGCCATACCTACCAGAAGGAAATGTCCATGTGGGATCTGCTCTGGCACAGGAAAACACCGTAGACGGATATACCCTCTCTCCGACCTCGTGCCACGATGGACGCAAGGGCCACACTGTCTTTAGACGCATCCACCCCGAATGCATACGCAGCGGCACCCCATGTGTCCGTGGACGCTTGTGGCTAGAACGAGAACGGTATGTGGCCTAGGCCCGAGACTTTGGTGTTCTATAAGCAGGTCGACTGGGTCCTCCAAAATCGAGGATCGAATGTGGAGGTTCTCTCCTCGTCGGAAACACCAAACACAACAGAAAAAAGCATGACAGAGAACAATCAAACCGGAATGGAGGATTACCAGGAGCACCGCCTTCACACGAGCAAGATCAGCCTTTACACAAGCCGCCCCCATATCTGGTACAAGAAGTAGCCGAACCAGAAAACGTAGAACATACAAACTCGAGCCCGAGGAAATGCGATCAAAAACCCCGAGGTGCACACGAAGCGTGAAATGAGCCCGAAGCCGCCGAAACCACGAATGGATACCTCATTGCACACAGAGTATAACAGCTGCCTAAGCAAACATGAAAAGAGAGGATTCCCCACATGCCTCCAAGAGCCCTCAGATCCGCTCCCAGGCGGCTCCAAGTGGCCACGAAGCTTCCCGAAAAGTCCCACAAGACGCCCCCCAACAGACTCCGAGAGGCTCCCAAGAGGGCCCCAAGAAGGGTTCCAGAGCGTCAGCGTCGTCGTCGAGGGGGAGAGGGGGCAGGAAGAGGAGGAGAAGGAGCAGGTGCAGGAGAAAGGAGGAAGGAGGAGGATGAGGCGGGGAGGAGGAAGAAGGACGAAAAGGAGGGAGACGGAGGAAGGGAGGGGAGGGCGGAGGATGAGGAAGGAGACGACGAAGAAGCAGATATATTTCCGTCCGCGCGCCCCGACCCACGCCCGACTCTGCCCCGCCTTACCCTCAATACCCTCCTCATTCCCCAACACCGTTCCACTCCCAGACTTAGGTCGGGCATGTCCTCCTCCTACAGGCGGATTTTGAACGGAAAGTAAAAAAAGAGTTTAAACCAAATACTATGTATGTATATTCTACACATGCATTACCAAAAAAATGTGAAACAATCGTCCCCAGGCTATGTTTTGACTTTTTGTGGATATTCCTCCTGTAGAGGGGCATGCCCGACTTGATCCCAGGCCATTCTTCCGCTGGCGGTCACGCTTTTCACATGTACGGTTGTGCGTTCGCGCCTTGTCGGTCCTCCACGCGCCCCGCGCAGTGCTCAACGCCTGCCCGATTGCGCGATGTGCCGAAGCTCGTCTGAAGAGGGCCCCGACAGCCGAGAGCTCCCCAAGACAGCCCAAGAAGAGAGCCTCGAGGCAGCGCATGAGTGCCTCGAAGGGGCCGAAGATTGCCCCAAGCGAATTCCAAGACTACTGCCCCAAGGAGGGACCCAAGAGGCCCCCAAGAGAGAGAGCCCCAAAACGGCCCAAGAGGGAGGTCGCCCAAGAAGGCCAAAGAAGCCCTGAGGCCCCTGGAGGCCCCCAAGAGGGCCCGCTTTTCGGCCACCGGGGACCGCGGTGACTCACTGAAGGCGTCTTAGATACCAGATGTTTCCAAATAAGCGTCCACCAAGCCTCTGGTCAGGGCGGATACGCTGGAACGGCAATGGTGCACTCGCTACCATATATGATCGAGCTCCTTTCTCTCACCCTTCTTCATCCTGCCCTTACCTTCCCTCGTCATCCCCCTCCATACCTCATCCCAAAAACCCTCTTCGCTACGGGCTTAGACCTTCTGCTGACCTCCACTCGCGCTGGGTTTTCTCATGATGCACCAGTGTCTACCCGGCAATATCCGCCTGAGTCCCCTTCGTCTCCCTGCATTGAATACGCTAAATGCTATCGAAGTGGCCCAGACCCCCAGCCCACGGACTTCCTGGGGTGTTCCGCATAGCTAAGGATGGACTGAGAACATCCCAATAGGGCCCCAAGACTGGCCATGAGAACTCTGGGTCGGCCACAAACAGCCCGAAGACGGGCCAAAGTGCCTCCCAGATGCCCACAAAGCCAGAAGCAGTGATCTTCCGCAAGTGCTTGAAACATTTCAACGAACGTTCGCGTCTGTCCAGGGTTCCAACGCTCCGAAACGGCCCAAGAGGTCCACAAAATCGCCCCAGGACGGCGCAAGAGGCTGCAAGAGGCCCTGAAGACTGCCCGCCGCAATGGAGGCCCGCGAGGGAGCAATGGAAGGGACCGCGGGAGCCTCTCCCCCGAGTAGAGCCCCCCGAGACCCCCAGCATGCCCCGGAGAGCCCCCTAGGAGCGCCCAGAAGGCCCCAAGAGGCCTCCAAAAGGCCTCCAAGAGGCGCTGCCGCAGAGCCCCCGAGGGGCCCCCAGAGCCCACTTCAAGAGGCTTCCAACACGCCTTCGAGGGGCATCACAAGAGATCCCAACAGGCATTCAAGTGGCATCTTGCCCACAACCCAAGCACGGTGGCGGGCTGGGCCAAAGGGCACTGGACATGGATTGGCGCAACGTCCTATACTACCCATCGAGTGCCATCTTACATCGACTTACGTCGAAGTACCTTGCTGCATCCTGACAAGCAGATTGAAGAAGATTGAAGAAGGGCCCTCGAGCCCGTAGTGATATCTCTCATGCGGCCTTCGTTTGCCCCCCCCTCCCCTCATCGAGAAGCTGTTGCAGCTGGAGTCTAGCACCCAGTCCGTGACAATCCTCTCGCCCGCGGGGACGTCGACCTGTCGCCCCGCGCTGCAGCAACAGGAGATCTGGTGGTGCAACATGGAGGGACGTGCGTGGAAGGACGAGGGATGGAGGAGAATGAGGCGAAGTGGAGGTGACGCGTCATGCCTGGAGCAGCTGTCTCGCCTCGTCCTCCCGCCTGGCCCTCCTCCCGAACCTCTGGCGCGCCCTGGCTGCCTTCAGCACGCGGCGCCCTGGAAGACCCCCCCCGTCGCCCATCCGCCCCCCTCCCTGCAGGCCCGTGGGGAAGAGCATGTGCTCCTGGCCAGACCCACTGCTCTTCCCTTCATACACGTGTTGCCCGTGCTCTGTGCAAGAGTATCCTAGGCAGTGGGCAACATCTCTCTAGCTTCGGAGCGGCCCGGAGGACGACGAGAGAACGAGGGGGAAGAGGACGAGGAGGCCGAGGGGGAAGCAACGACGACCCCAACAGGCTCAGGAGAAAGAACATGTTGCTCCCCGCCGCTCCGTTTGGTCCCCAAAAGAGGCTTCCAAAACGGCCCAGAAGGCACGCTGGACGGCCGAATTACAGTCAAGACTGACAGCAAGGATGGACGATAAGGATGCAGGAGCCCTGGACGCCCATGTCGAAGCTTTTCGAGCGGCGCTGACCATCGAAAGCGGTTGAGGATGGACCTAAAAGGCACGGATGCCATGGTGCCCTTGGGAAGGCTACCCATCCGTACCATCGGTTTCGACTGTAATCGAGACGACCCCAGCTTCCAAGAGGACCCCTGAGGCCCTTCAGGCGGCCCTGGAAGCTTCCAGGGCACCCCTCAGACGGCCCGAGCCTGCGCGTGAGTCGAAATGTGCGTGCGCTGACGCTGCATTCGATCGCGCGGAGCGTATCCCCGTGGGGGTTTGCTGCAGGGCCCAGACAACCGGCAGCCACGCAGCTCCGTCGGAGGCCTCGTCTGGAGGGACGCTGGCCTGGAGCCCCTCCTTGGTGCTCAGGGCAGGCAGGCAAGAGGTCAGGCTGAGCACGGAGGCTGCGGAATTCGTCCGAGCCGCTCCGCTTTGTCCCGTTCCACCCGCACTCGTCCTTCGCTGAAAGTGCGATTCTATCGTCTTCTCCTTTTGCCAACTGTGAAGGGGACCAAGGACACACAAATAAGTACACACAAATAGCAGGATTCCCCACATTTGTTGATATTTTCTGAGCTCTCGTCTTCCCCCCCCTCCCATATTTTCCCATATGTTCTGGGGAGTCGACGATGAATTGTGTCTGTGTGTTTTTTCCCCTCCTGAAAGGTACTCCTGCGCCGCGCAGTGATGAGGCTCTGCGGAGGGCGACAGGAGAGGACAACGACAAAAGCCAGCCGATGAGAAAAAACGGCCGCGCGAGGGGGAAAAGAGGGAGAAGGAGAAACCGAACGCTGAGGTAGGTACGGCCAGCTCTTCTGGGGAGTCGACGATCTCATTGTGTCTGTGTGTGTCTCTCCCTCCCGAAGCTGGGCCCGAGGGAGGGGGAGGGGGAGGAGGGAGGAGGAGGAGGAGGAGGAGGGAGGAGGAGGAGGAGGAGGAGGAGGAGGAGGAGGGAGGAGGAGAGGAGGAGGAGGAGGAGGAGGAGGAGGAGGAGGAGGAGGAGGAGGAGGAGGAGGAGGAGGAGGAGGAGGAGGAGGAGGAGGAGGAGGAGAGGAGGAGGAGGAGGAGGAGGAGGAGGGGGGCCTCCGAGAGCCCGCGCAGGAGCCGGGGGGCCACCGCCGCGCAGGCGGGCACCGGCCGCGGGGCCGGCAGCCCCCCCCTCGGCACCCCCTGGGGGCCCCCGCGGTGCGTGCCTGCCCTGGCACCGTAGGGGGGGGGGAGGCCACGGCGCGGCGATTGGGAACCCCCAAACCGGGTGGTGAGATACCAGGTGGCGACCTGGAATCCCCAAAAAGGTCACCGCTGGGTTTGGGGACGCGGGGTCACCGCCGGGTCTTGTGACTCCTGGCCCCACCAGTGTCCGGGACATCCTCGGAAAACCGCACGAGTCCCCAAACCGGGTGGTGACACCAAATCGCCCGAGACTCACCGCCAGGTGTTGTCACCACCACGTTTGGGGACTACCAAGGCGAGGCACGGGCGATGCGCACCGGCGCCGGGACGGGGGAAGGAGCACGCGATCCTATAGCTTGTCCAAGCTCAGAGATCCAGCGCCTTGGGAAAAAATACGGGGCCACGTGCGAGCCCTACCCCCCCACCCCCCGACGATTTCTGAGGAGGAGGGTGGGGGGGTTCACGTCGCTCGGGAGCTCCCGGGCGAAGTGAGCCCCACCCTGCCCCTCAGAAATCGGTGGGGGGTAGGGGCAGGGTTCTCGCACGTGCGCCCCCCAGGAAATACCGAGAGGGCCCAGCAAGACCCCGAGAGGCCCGCACGATTGGCCCGAGGGCGCTCTTCACGGGAGCCCCAAGATCGAAGGGGGGGAGGAAGGATGAGGCCAAGGCGGGCGGTCCACTCCGCGCCAGACCAATCTGCGGGGGGCATCCGAAGCCCTGGACAGACGGCCCTCCGCAACAGCAAGGCCACGAAGGTCGGCGCCGTCGCGCTCGCGACAGCTTGGGGTCGGGGCCCTCCGTTAGAAGGGCCCAGGGACACCCAAATAAGTAGGCACACCTCCAGGAACCACCGCTCATATTTCCTGGGACGTTCGCCTTGCCCCCAACTTCCCACGTGATCCCACATTTTTTCCTGGGCATCGACGATGCATTATGTCTGTGTGTGTGTGTCTCCCCTCCTGATCCTTGTCCCCTTCCGAGTGTCCAAAAACTGTCTGCGACGCACGCCAGCCTCCACGCCCGCAGGGTGGGCACGGGCACCAGACGAAGACGTGCAGGACCGCGACGACTGGCAACGCTGGACTGGGCAACGCAGCAGTCACGCCGCCGCGCTCGTCCCGTCCTCCTCCCATTCTTCCTCCTCCCATCGTCAACCATCCTCCTCCTCCTCCTCCTCCTCCTCCTCCTCCTCCTCATCATCATCATCATCATCATCATCATCATCATCATCATCATCACCACCACCACCATCATCATCATCATCATCATCATCATCATCGTCATCATCATCATCATCAGCATCATCATCATCATCATCATCATCATCGTCATCATCATCATCATCATCATCATCATCATCATCATCATCATCATCATCATCATCATCATACACCTCGTCTTCCTCTTCCTCCTCCTCCTCCTCCTCCTCCTCCTCCTCCTCCTGGTCCCCCTCACGAAATTGACCATGCGGCTGCGACAACTATGGGGACACCTGCTCCTCCTCCTCCTGTTCCCCCTCACGAAATTGACCATGCGGCTGCGACAACTATGGGGACACGCTCGTATACCCACGGAGTAACCGCGCAAACGAAACAATCAAACAAAAGCTACCGCCAAGCCCAGGTTCCCAGCCCTTCCGAGCAGGCCTAAGAAGACAGAGAGAGATAGAGAGAATCCGCCGACCCTCCGATGTGTGTCAGATGTTCTTCCGTTCGGCGTGGAAGACGCTGTCGTCGTCGTCGTCGTCGTCGTCGTCGTCGTCCCGTCTGTCCCGAGAAATGGAGGAACAAGGAAAACGAACGTCGAAATTAAGTCGCTTCCCTTCAATTGTATCCCCTCCCTGGCCGGGGGGGATCCTGGGAAGGGTGGGGGCGGGGGGGGGTCGCCAACGGGGGTCTCGGGGGAGATCTCGCTTTCAGGGTCGGCGGCACCAACTGTAAGGCTTTCACAATAAAAGCAGCAAATGAACCACAATTGAAAAACGCAAAATGGCGTCGTCGTGTCGTCCTCTTCGGTTGTGTGGCGGGGCCCCCCCCGTCGCCGAGGCTGGACGCGGCTCGGAAAAAAAAGGAAGATGAACCCCGCCAGGGTCCGGGTGCAGAGACAGGTGTTGAACGGAGTTCGGTCGGGGACGGTCCGGTCGGAGACGGCAGCACTCTCACAAGGTTAAGAGGATTTTGACAAAGGATCCGCTGGTCACAGAGGCTCACAAGCAGGCTTCCTGGAACGCAGGGGCGTTTCTGAAATGGCGGCGCGCGCGCCGCCCAACGCCGAGCCAGCCCCGAGCCCCGCTTCAAGAGATCGCACACGGAACTGCAACCAGCACGTCGACTGCGTGGGCAAGCTGTGGAGCCTGGACGCGACGATCGTCCCAGAGAGGGGTCTGCCACGCGCGAGCGCTGGCTTCATCTCTTCACAGGGGTCGCGCGGGGGCGCGGCAGGTGGAAAGGGCACTGCGAGGAAGTATGCAAGTCAATCGCGGCGGCTGCAATAGCCGCCAAGTCCCTCCCCGACCTCGTGCACGTTTTCGTGGAAGCTGCAGCTGGTCGCCCGAGTGATGAACCTCCCCATCGCAAGGGAAGACGATGATGGAGCCGCAGGCACATGCACACATGTTTTGGCGTCGCGGCCCTGCGCGCGGCGACAGGGCGTAGAAGGTCAGAAAGCACGAATCGCGAACGCGCGCGTTCAAGCCCGCCCGAAGACTCAGAGACTACTCAGGGCCTCGCAGCCGCTGGCAGCCACAACCATCCGGGCATGGATGGCGGGAGGGGCCGTGGGTAGACGAGGCTACGCTGAGGTGGAGGATGTCAGAAGCCAACCAAGACTGAAGGCGGAGGAGCAAGTAAGCAGAGTGGAGCGAAGCGACAAGGAAGCCAAGGACGACACACACACACACACAAACACATAGACACACACACACACAAACACATACGAACAAACACACAAACTTGTAAGTCGGCGGCGGACGGCAGATGGAAGTACCAATTGCGATCGAACATCGTCGAAGGCACAGTGCACAAACCGTGCACCCTGTCAAATGCAGCGACGGGTGGCGTGGAAGAGAAACAGCGAATCCAAACGAAACTTGTAGCGGCACAAACACACAAACACACAAACAGACTTTTCACGTCCGCGGCCTTGCGAATGCCCATCCAACCGGGCGAGGGGGATTCATCGGGATACGAGGAGCGACAAGCTGATTCTCTACGGCAAGCTCAGCCGGTCGTAGCATGAACAGGGCACGAGCCGAGTCCCAAAGACTCCCTATATCGAGCCGTCGCAGAGAGTGAAGATAAGCAGAAAAAGACATGCACAATACAGGAGAGAGGCTCACACGCACACACGCACACACGCACACACGCACTCAGGATGGTATTCACGGCCAGTCGCAGCCTGGATACAACTTCTCCAGCATAACCCTCGAATATTCGTTGCCCGCTCCTCCATCGGAAAAAAGCACAGTGTGTATGCGTGTATGTGTGTATGTGCGTATGTGTGTATGTCTGTATGTGTGTATGTGTATGTGTGTATGTGTATGTGTGTATGTGTATGTGTGTATGTGTGCATGTGTATGTGTCGATGCGTGGATGCGAATATGTGTGTATGTGTGGATGTATGTGTGCATGTGTGTCTGTGCGTGTCTGTGTGTATGTGTGTATGTATGTGTGTACGCGTGTACGTGTGTATGTGTATATGTGTTAATGTGTGTATGTGTGTGCTTGTGTGTATGCGTGTATGTGTGTATGTGTATGTGTCTGTGAGTGTGTAAGCGTGTGTGTATGTGTGCATGTGTGTAAGTCTCTATGTGTGTATGTGTGAATGTGTGTATGTGTGAATGTGTATGTGCGTATGTGTGTAGTGTGTGTGTGTGTGCATGTGTACGTATATGCGTCAATGTGTGTATGTGTACGTGTATATGCGCGTATGTGTGTATGTGTATGTGTGTCTCTGTGTGTGTCTCTGTATGTCCGTGTGCGTATATGTGTCTCTGTGTGGTTGGCTCTGTGTGTCTGTGTATAGCTGTGTGTGTCTCTGTGTGTATCTGCGTGTGTCTATGTGTGCGTTTCTCTCTGTATATGTGTCTCTCTGTGTCTATGTGATTATGTGTGTGTCTGTGTGTCTCTGTGTGTCCCTATATGTCTGTGTATGTGTCTGTGTATGTGTCTGTGTCTCTGTGTGCGTCTCTGTTTGTGTCTTTGTGTGCGTTTCTGTGTGTATGTGTGTGTGTCTGTGATTAGCTTCGACCAGAAGAGGTGCGCTCTCGAACCGCGAATCAAAAAATGTGTGTGTCTGTGTGTTATGTGTGTGTCTCTGTGTATGTGTATATGTGTGTGTGTCTCTGCGCGGCTCTGTGTTTGTCTCTTTGTCTGTGTCTGTGCGCCTGTGTGTATGCATATCTATATGTGTGCCTGCGTGTGTAGATGTGTCGGTGTGTATATGTGCGTGCCTATGTGTGTCTCTCTGTGTGCGGCTGAGTGTGTATGTCAGTGTGTGTGTTTGTGTGCGTCTGAGTGCCTGCCTGTGTGTGTCTGTGTGTGTCGCTGTGTGTGCCTGCGTGTCTATGTCTGTGTGTCGCTGTGTGTGTCGCTGTGAGTGTGTCTGTGTGTCTGCGTGCCTGCTCGTGTGTCTGTGTGTCTGCGTGTCTGTGATCATGTGTGCGAGTGTCTGCGTGTATGTCTGTTTGTGTCTGTTTCTGTGTGTATATGTGTCTGTGTCTGTGCGTGTCTGTGTGTCTCTGTCTGTGTGTCTCCGTGTCTGTATGTGTGTGTCTGTGCATGTGTCTGCCTGTGCCTCTGTCTGTGTCTGTACCTGCGCACGTGTGTCTGTGACTCTTGTTGGAGATAGTCGAAGCAATCGCACCAGGACTCTAGAGGAAGAAACGAAGTCCTTTTAGTCGTGGTTCCCTACACTCTCCAACTAGCCATCATCCGAACTGGTGCTCCATGTTCAGTCTCGGATATCCCTGTCAAAGACACCCACAGGCCACTGCAGCCACGAAAGAAACAAGTCAGCAGGACACAGGAGCGGCGGAAATCGTTGCCATGGACACCACGGATTGCGCCCCTGATGGTAACAAAGATGATCGAATACAACCGACTGCTTGGAAAGACGTACTTCCCAACACTACTGGCGCACCAGGTCGGGACCTGCGTTTCAGAGGCCTGTACGAGCGGATTCCCAACGGATACGGCCCGCACGTCACCGCGGGCTCCGTCGAGGCCATGCAGGGGCAGGAAGCGGACCAAGTCATCTCTACCACGGCCCGCTCCGACAATGACCGAGACTTCGGATTTCGGAACGACAATTGGCGCATGCATGTGCTTCTCACTCGCGCTCAACACGGCCTTATCATCAGCACCCATCTGGACCTCTGGCCGAGTGCCAAATTTGCGGAACTCCCTGAGCACCTGGCCTACTACGCCAGGGCGGAGCTCACAGTCAGTCTCCAAGTGGAAGGCGGCCGCGTGATATCGCGACGGACCTTGACGTTCAACAAGCCGGAATGGTGGCCACCCACGTGCACCACGGAGGCGGACGCGCACGGGCGCAGAGAGCTCGACTCACCTGCGAGGCGGGCCTCGCCAGGCTACACTTAAGGGGCCCTGGGAAACACAAATAAATACACACAAATAACAGGATTCCCCATATCTTCCTATATTTTCTGGGTCTTTGTCTCCCCCCCCCACTTCCCATATTTTCCCACATTTTCTGGTGGATCGACGATTAATTGTACCACCTCGCGCGGGTCTCAGGCCAGACTGGCCAGACCACCTCAGGTCAGGGGATCGAAACGGTTAGACGGTCGATAGGCCGATCAGTGGCCGATCAGGCGAGCATTCCAGCAGCCGATAAGGCGATCAGCCGGAATGCGGTCCGGCAGCCGATCAACCAATCAGCCGATCAGCGGTCGACCAGCCGATCAGCCGATCAGCCGATCAGCGGTCGAAAGGCCGATCAGCCAATCAGCCGATCAGACGCAGACCAGCCGATCAGCCGATCAGTCGTATCGGCTGGTCGGCTGATCGGCTGGTCTGCGTCTGATCGGCTGATCGACTGATCGGCCGCAGCGAATAATCCCCTGGGCTGCAGTCGCAATGGCATTTTAGCCGTTTCGCACTTTCGCTTCCGATGGGCTCCCGAGGCTTTAAGATGGCCCCAAGCTCAAGAGGGCCCCAAGAGGGGCCCAAGATGGCCCCACGAAGGCACCAAGAGAGCTCAAGAGAGCCCAAGAGAGCGCCCCAAGAGGTGACATTGGGAGAATCTCCTCCTCCTCCTCCTCCTCCTCCTCCCCCTCCTCCCCCTGCTCCTCTTCCTCCTCCTTCTCCTCCTCATCCTCCTTATCCTCCGCCTCTTCCTCCTCCTGACCCAGCGCACGCCCAGCATCTTCAAGCGGGTCTTAACCGTCGCCACGACCTACCCCCTCACGCTGACCTTCAAGCTCGCCTCGCAGGTCATCCCCACGATCGAGGAGGTCGGGGGGCAGACGCCCACCCCGGCGGGCGGACGCAGCGGAGGAGCGCGACAGAGGGCGAGCGGGACCCTGAGATCCGACGGCGCGAGCGAGAATAAAGCACGTCAGGACATGGGCGGGAGGGGCCGCCCACGCCAGCAGCTGGCGAAGCACGATACAACTTCTCACGGGCCGATTTTCCGCCGCCGCTACCAGAGGTAGTAGGAGGAGGAGGAGGAGGACCTCCCCTCCTCGGAGAACGTGCTCGTGCTCCCAGATAGCTGCGCTGCCAGGACCCTAGATATTGTGAACCCCTCCTCGGAAAGCTTACCCTCGGCTCCCCTGCTGCCCTCCCAGCTTGGCCGCGTCCTCCCCTCGCCTCCGCCTCCTCCCCCTCGCCGCCTTGCCTGGGCCCGCCGTCCTCCCCCTCTTCTCCTGCCGTGGATGCGGGGGTCTGCCGAATCCACCCCGAGGCCCTACTGGGCACCGGCGCACTGCGCCAGAGGCATGCTCCGGGAAGCCCTCCCCGGAACATGCCTCGAGCGTCTCTGGCGCAAGGCTCGAGGATCCCGCCGGTCCAGAAACGATCTCGGAAGGGGCCAGTACGCCCGTTTTCCCAGTGCTTTGGCGGAGCACTTCAGCCATGCATTGTGTCACGGTTTACAGGTCAGGACTTCTTGGACGACGCATGTTTGGAGGCGAAGATGCGGCGGTGGATTCGGAGACGGAGATGTCGGACGGTTAGCTCTTCAATGCCTGCCCCTTCCTTCCAGGCTTCCCCTCATGAGGACTCCCTTTTCGAAGACGGCGTCGACTCTGGTTTCGAAGACGGCATCGAGAACACGCGAATTTCACGGTTCCGTTAGGCCCCATGGCATTCGCGTGCCCACTGAGCGCCCAGTTCCGACAGGCTCCGCAAATGCGCGCGGTGCCAACGGGGCCCCGCGGACACGGGATCATCCTTACTGCCCGCGCTGTGGTCCCGATTAGGTTTCACGTCGCTCTCACGCGGCCGCATGGGCCCCCGCCACAGATTCACGTTCTGCCGCTCAGGCTTCGGAGGGGGCCGAGGACACCTCTATGGACCCTCGGCCAACGAAGACGTCCAT